TATTTTCCGTCGATATAAACTTCCGGGCGAATGTTACAAGAGGAAGAAGCTTCACGCTAATATGAAGGCAGTTACTTTCGCAAAAGATTTACTCTGGAAGATACTGCGTCTTCATGGGGCACAGAGTGCTGCTTCCGCCCTGAAACTTTGATTTCTTATTGTTGCCGGAACTAGGGCCGCCTGAAACAGTGGATAGGCATTTTAAGAGTCTTTGCCATCTATGCCACCCAGACAAAGGCGGAAGAGAAGAATAATTCAAGGTGCTGGTTGAAACTCGAAAAATTCTCATGGATCCAGAGGAGAGAGAAGTCTACAATAAAAGAGGCCTAGATTCCACAAAAAATTTGTTGCGTCATAAAATGTACAAATAAACTGGAAGTTTGTCCTTTTGACAGAGTTTTTTATGTGCTCAATAAAATAGTATCTTATAACGTGCTAAATGAGGTAAAATTCTATTATAGGGAACCAATTGATATGCAAAAAAATACACCATTATTGCTCCGTCGTGTGTAGAGCACTCCAATATCAAGGAGGGGAAGCGGAACATTTTAGCGAAGCGGAAGTTTCCTTGTTAGTAAATTGTAAGATCTTAACTTGAACTAGTTCGGCAAAGGTCATTGCTAATTTGAGATGTCTGCGAACTGTCAACGCGTTAAATAATTTTAAATGTCAGATATGCAAAGGCCTTGGCAGGTGGGAGAAAACTTCACTTAATATAGTGTCAGATAAAGCTGACAAAAATTGCAAAAATCCGTAATCTGGGTAAAATCAATAAGTACTCGGATTAAGGATAGAAACTGGGCAGCAAATTCAGAGCAATCAGTTGGTTAATAAATCCTTCCTTGATAAATCCTTTCAATAATAAATTCCTGTAATTATCACATAAGTCTGCGGGACCAACTCGGAAAATAAATATTAAAGCAGTTAAAGATATTTCGATTTTTCAATTCAACTTATACTCAATCCTTGTTTCCTCCCTACAAAATGCACTGGTGAAGAAAAATGATGAGGATAATAACAACTTACTTTTGCTCTGAAAGCTAGTTATATCGGATCGATCCGTCAATGAAAAATCAAATCAGATCTGAAATTTAAGCATATGAAGGGTCAAACGTACAATCTGTTCCCTTAAGTGACCTACCGTAGAGCAAATTTATCCCGTTATGAGAGTAAAATGTTTATCATATTTTGGTATTGATTGATTTTTTTCCTTCTTATTTCAATCAAATCATTTTGTCGTTGTCAATATCTAAAAAACCGGTTCTTTGTACTCCCACTTAAATCGGTTTTGGGAGTGTTGTACGGTTGATCTTATATGTATTTACATTTTCAGATTGCAAGCTTAAATGAACGATTCAGCTTCTTGTATTAAATAATTTTGTCAGTGTTTGATTCCCTAATTTTTTTGATTACATATTTTTATTTCTTTTGTCAGTATTTTTTGATTACCTAATTTCTATGATTAATCCGGTCATTAATCATGGAAATTAGGTAATCATAAAATTAGGTAATAGCCCTCATAAAACTTTTATCAGGTGACGATGTAACCCAGAAATGGTACGCAGACGACGGAAATGCAGTCGGTAAATTAGGCAATCTACGAACCGTCCTCGTTAAAATTGTATCACTGGGTAAATTTTTCGGCTACCACGTGAAAGCATCCAAATGCCAACTCATTGTCAAGGATGAAAAACTCGGTGAAGCTCAAAAAATCTTCGCAATTACAGGAATCACTATAAAGGCAGGAGCCCGAGTGCTTGGTTGAGTAATAGGAACAGAACTTGAATGTAAAAAAATCCTGGAATTTCAACAGAATGATCAAATCAAATTTTGAAAATACTAACGAAAATCGCTAAAACCTCGCCTCAAAACGTTTATGCCTGCTATAATAAAGGAGTTCAAGAAAAGCTTTCATTTCTTGCCAGGACAACGCCTAACACTATGGAAAACTTAGAAATATGTGAAAGTATTATCAAAGAACAATTATTACCTAACCTAGTCGGTGAAGACACTTTAAACCCCCAATTCCGTGAGATATCTTCCTTGCCCCTTAAAATGGGCGGACTTAACATCAAGCTGCCATCCGATCATGAAAGCTACCTAGAATGGTCTAAGGAAACATCACTAGTACTGGAATCTCAAGATCCTATTACAGCAGTAACACAGCAAGAAAAAATATGTACGAAAATCAAAAAATTGAAAACTGATAGAACAAATCGAAAAAAATCAAACCTCATCAACACCTTAAATGAAACAGATAAATACGCAATCGACCTGGCCTCTGAAAAGGGAGCCTCTAACTGGCTCAATGCTCTACCACTGAGCAGATACAATTTAAACTGAATAAATCAGAGTTCAGAGATGGTATTTACTTAAGATACGAATGGGAACCAACCAAAACCCCACTCACATGTGCATGTGGTGCTGATTTTAACTTGACACATGCGCTTCACTGTGCAAAGGGTGGTTACACACACATAAGACAAAATGAGATTAGAGACACATTCGCCAACCTCATGAACGAGGTTTGCCATGACGTCGAGAGTGAGCCGAAACTTCAGCCGTTGCAAGGCGAAAGCTTTGTCAACAATTCAACTACAACTGAAGATGAGGCACGACTTGACAATAAGGCAAACGGACTCTGGGGTTCACGATTCAGCCGCGCTTTCTTTGATGTGAAAATTTTCAACCCCCAAGCTAAAACATCGCGAAAACTGCATAAGGATGCATACAAATACCACGAAACGCTGAAGAACTCCAAATATCAGCAAAGAATTTTAAACGTAGAGCAGAGTAGCTTCTGCCCGCTAATTTTTGGATGCACCGGTGGCGCTGCTCCAACAGCCACGCGGACGATGCAGCGATTGGCCGAAAAACTAAGTGAAAAAAGACAAGAAAGCTATCCAGAATCTATAAACTACATAAGAACTAAAATAAGAAGTACATCAACATGGGAAAACTTTGACAAGGCAATGAAGATTAATAAAGAACAATGGGTGGATAATCAATACCCTGAAAAATGATCAGATGGTGTCGTATTAAGAACGTTGAATAAGATCATCGACCGAAAAACTGACACACGAACAACGGTAACATCAGTCAAGGAAGATCCTTTAAAGGTCAGTGCACCCATTATAACATTACAATACCGGGGTAATGCATCGGAGTGGTTTGCTGCCAAACTGCGTCAAAACGCCGGAGCCCAAGTGATATTTACTACGAGAAAGCTCAAGACTTGCCTACCGTCCCTTAAATCTCCCTTTGCGAAAGATTTGAAATCCAGAGTGGTCTACAAGCTCACATGTAGTGGATGTAATTCCACCTATGTTGGACAAACGTTCCGGCATTTGACCACGCGGATTGAAGAGCATCACAAGGAAGATTCGCCAGTAGGGCAACATTTGAGAGAATGTGACAGGGATGGTAAGAGCGCTGAGCTTAAGTCTGAGATTATAGATCAATCAAGTAACATACAGAAACTCCTCACTCTGGAGGCCTTACATATTTGGAAAGAACGCCCCAGAATTAACACGCGCGAGGAGTTAAGGAGCAGGGAGCTGACATTTGAATTATAGTACATGTTTAAACATGACTAAAAATTGCAATTTTTGAAAAAATAAACTGACATGTCAGTTTGGATAAAACATCAAATCGAAAAATTATGACTCAAGTAACAAAAAAGTATGGAAATTGTCATAATCGATGAAATAATGATTACGTAATAACAGATGTAAAAATGTGATTGGTTAAAAATTTCTAACATGTTCTTTTTGAATTTCATACATGATCTTTGATCATTTTATTGTAAATAAAAAATTTTATATCCTGACGATGCACAAAATGTGCGAAAACGTTTGAATTAACAATTTTAAAAAATTCTTACTTAACTAAAATAAGCTTTGCGCTCCTGAGAAGCTCTATACTTTGTATAAGGAGATGCAGATCGCTACGCAAAGTTCAATTTATTTACGACGATGCATTTAATGCTGATTTATGACTTCATGGCTGATATATATGCATTTTTATATCGCTGGTATGGCCCTATCCAGGTTGTGCACTTACCGTAACTAAACGGAAGGACCCCTTTTGTAATTTAGTTTTTTTTTTTTAAATCCGGTCATGGTGCGGGACTTTGTTTTAAACTGTTAAAAACAAAAGCAGTTAAAAACAGAATAGCGTTAAAAGAAATAACCTAACTTTTCTTGTTTTGTGATGTTTTCGACACTTGGGATGGCGAACATGTCCTTGCGAAATCAACTGAATGTGGAAAAAGCAGGAAAATTGACTTTTTGTGAAAACAATTTACTTGTTTAATTGATTGTTTAACGAATGCGTTTATTCATCTGTTATTTATCGTATTTTAAAGAAAGTAGCAGAACTTGGGTCTTTCTGAGAAAAACATATTAAACATGCTTCTTACATTTGAAACGTTTTTTCGTACGCTTATTACGTTCTATTATTATTATTATCATTATTATCCTATCGTACGACTGGATAAAAAATGATTTAAACTACCACATTGATTCCGGTTACCATGTTAATTTCTGACTTTTTGATTTACTTAAAATACGAAAAGAAATAGAAAAAAAATGATATAGTTAAAAACAGCTTAGCAGGGAAACTAAAAACTTGTCATCGATTGAAAAATTATCTACTCGAATGTCTATTTCCATGTCAAGTTTGCTTTCTAGAAAAAATCTTTTTAACCCCCCTATATTTTGTTCAGCATGCTATTTTATTCCTGGTTTACTTTATCCTTTATAATAACTAAGATTGAATAAGTTAGTGCAAATGGGGCAAGTGATTTGCCTTGATGAAATTTTTGAAGCGACCGATCGGTGCATATTGATTTAGTTAATAGCTGTATTTGCTGTAAAGTTAGTTGGATTTTGAATACCTCTCTGACCGGGACCCTTCTATCACAGGTTATTATCAGGTTTTTACAGGGTCTCCTCTATCACACTTGTACCGTAAACAATCCTTAAACTGTTTTCAGATAACTTAGCGTCCACCGGGAAAGGCAGCCTGAACAGGATGCCACCAAAAGTGGACCAATTTGGCTTTGTAGTTCAGACAGACCAGCCAGGAGGCCCTGAAAGTGAAAACAATACCCCCAACAATGAACAGAAATCGCAACAAAGTGAAGAATATTCAGCTAGAAACCGGGTTCGTGAAATGAAATGGCTCGATATGTTTAACCGATGGGATTTTTTTATTAAGAAAAATCAACGTAAACTTCGAGATAGATGTCGGAAGGGAATTCCTCAGTCATGTCGAGGGAAAGCTTGGCTAAAGCTCACTAGTGCTTCGAAGCTACAACAGCATCGTAGCGATATATATGATAAATTGCTGGGTAAGAATTTAGACAAAAAACTCGCAGATGAGATCAAGCGAGATCTACACAGAACGTTGCCACAGCATACGATGTTTCTAAATAGCACTGGTCAAGGACAGAAGAAGCTTTATGAGGTTCTGAAATGCTATGCTCTGTACAACCCTAGAATTGGATATTGTCAGGTTCTGTCCCCAATAACCGCAGTTTTGCTTTTGTACATGGATTGTGAAGAAGCATTTTGGGTTCTGGTCAGAATTTGCGACGTCTATCTTATCGGATATTTCGACGAAGGCATGAAGGGTATCCAGATAGATGCTTTAATATTCAGAGAGCTCTGTAAAAAGTTCTTACCAAAGCACTACAGTATTTTATCTCGTTGTCAAATCGATTTCGTTGTGTTAGTTCAAAAGTGGTTTTTCTGTATATTTTCGCGGACTTTGCCATGGCATATCTCGCTGCGAGTTTGGGACTGCTTTTTCTTTGAAGGAAAATGGTGTTTGTTTAGAGTAGGGTTGACTTTATTAAAGTACTCTTTAATAGAATTCATTCTCAACCCTGCGAGCGCTGATGAGTTCACAGTTTTGAAAACAATCCATCATTTCAACGTGGAAGCTCTTCACGAAGAAAAATTTCTACAGAAGTCTCTTGACTTCAAAATAACGAGTGAAGCAAAGAAAAAGTTAAATGAGTTATGCACTCGACAGTTCGAGAAGAAGAAAGCAGAAGAAATAGCTGCTCGTAGAGCACAGCAAGAAGCGGATACTAACCGTGGAAGTTTCCTGAATAAAATAGGAAGGTACATGTTTACGAAAAACAAAAACGGAATCAATCCAAATGAACCGGGATCTTCAAGAGGTCAAGATGAAAACTACTACTATGCCACGCATAAAAGTAGCAATAGTCAAAGAAAACACAAATCAGAGCCACTATCTGACCCCATACATCCGGATATGGTAAATGAAATCTTGAAACCAGAGGAAACAGGCAATGAAGAGTTCTTGGAAGCCGAAAACACAACCATGAATACATCAGGATCAAGGTCAATCGTAGTTGAAGTGAAACCGAATCACTCTAATACTGGGTTGTCAGGGTCAAGAATAGGGCGCAATCATTCAGCTTTAAATGATATTGACAAACCTTCGCGGGCGCGTCACTCGCTTACATTAAACGAGGCAGACAGCACAGAGAACTTCAGGCCGATAGAAGCGGGCCCAGGAGCGAGTCCCAAAAGTCCTAAGAGGTCTCCTCGCTCAACAAGAATGCTACCCGACATTGAGACAAGATAATGTTGAGTTAATAAAACTGGGTGTTGTCAAGCACGTATCATGGACATCCTATCACTGCAGTATAAAAACTAAAAACTAGCTAACTACTAAGTTCAATGGTGCTTCATCGGCTACCTTCAATGTCTAATTATAAATCAACTACTGTATTTTAGAAAATTAGGTGTTCTTCGGGTTTTCAATTGTGTTTTTGGTAATCGAGATTACATCGATATTTTAAGCCTTCATCCAAAAACAAATTAGTGTATAAGTTTTGCCATTTGAAAACCCGTTGAATTTTGACCATCATCTGGGGTCTTCCATTTATATCTGCTTAGTTTCCGTTTCATGTTCACTTTAATGTCTCTTTCATACCAAACTTCTTAGTCTCAATGTCTTATTTCATGCAAGCTTTAGCATGCACAACGCCAGAAAAATTGAAATACGTCTAACCTATAAAAAGTTCATAAATTTATTTTTGTCGTCAATGATTTTTTTGAAAGTCAGACAAGTAGAGCTCAACGATGCAAAATAAGTCATGCTAATCAGTGCGCTAGTTGTTGTTTTTGTAGCCCCGTAGGTTCTCTTGTCGACAATAGGTTCGTTTGTTTCGGATGTTTTTTTTAGTTCTGACTGGTCTTTTGTAATTGGGCCCCATGGGGCTATAGGTAGGGCATGTAACTGATGTGGGATAATTGATTGTTATTTGTAACACTGGAATTCACATAAATAGTGCTTCTGTTTACCGAATATGCGCCAAACATAAACTTAATTGTGTCTGGGAGCATGATTTCATATGAACGACCCAGTTTGCTAATTTCGTATTCCTATTTTTTCTCACCATTGAAATTGGGTAGGAACTTGGTATTCGTGTTTGCTTCAATTTTTTCTCTTTTTTTTTCGGTTTTCCACGCAAAATCAAATACCCTCAATAATCAGCGAAATGGTCGGGTAATAATAGATTCAAAGCTTTTCCCAGTGCCGAGAAAAAGGGTTGAAAATTTTTGAGTCTTAGTCCTATTTCGAGCGAGTATAAGAGTTCGAAATTAGAGTCAAAGTTTTCATTCAAATAAAGAAAAGTTTAATTTTACTCCGAGAAAACTAGGTTTGGAAGCTACATTTAGTGCTTACTTGGTAATTGCTTCCCAAAACTTACTGCTAGAAAATCTTCTGTTGTTGTTGTTGTTGTTAGCCCACGCGGGTCGGGTTGGGCTCTTCTGTCTCCAGGTCAAGGAACTTAGCAACCTCTACCGGCCGAAGCCACAGGTCTGCTGGGGTGAGTCGGTTAAAATTTTCTGGGTGTCTTCTTTGAAGCAGCTTATAATTGAGGGGCGAAGTAGACGGGGAGGAGGGGGATGTGAATGTATAAAATTAATGGGATGGTGGGAACGATAGGTAGAGATAAAAAATTGAGATGACAGAAGGGTATGGTGGTCTTTGACCGTTAGGATTTCAGATTCACTGTGCAGGTGGGCAGTGGAACTCATTAGTTTTGATCCAGTAACAACGCGAAGGGATTGGTTTTGGGCAACCTGCAGGCAATTTATGGAGGTGTTACTTGATGCGTGGGACCATGCGGGGGCTGCATAGTCAAGTATGGGGCGAATTAAAGCTTTAAAAGTTAGGAGGAGGGTTTCTTTGGAGTGACCCCAGGTTGATCCTGCTAATGCCTTCAGGATTCCGATCCTGCGTCTGGCCTTTTCAATGGATTGTTTGCAGTGAGTGGCAAAACAAAGTGTTGGATCAAATGTCACCCCTAAGATTGTTGGATTTTTGTTTAGGGGTAGCGCCTCGTTATTTAAAAGAACACTAGGTGTTTTATTAAATTCTTTGTTATAAGAGGAGAAAAGTGTAACTGATCCTTTAGAGGACGCGAAACTTAGTTTGCGTGAGGTGAAAAAATCGTAGAGCCTTTTTAGGTAGCTATTGATGGAGTTTGAGGCGATATCAATATTGGAACTGCTTGCGAAGGGGTGGAAATCGTCTGCATACGAAACAAGGTTTACATTATCGGGAGGTGGCGGTGCATCATGGACATAGAAATTGAAGAGTGTGGGTGATAAAACAGAACCTTGGGGTACGCCACAGTGGATTATTCGATAGGGGGATGTGTGTTCACGGAATGAGGTGGCAGCCTGTCGACCATTAAGGTAATTACTTAGCCAGCGGACTAGACTTCTTGGGAGGGGAGTGTCATGAACGAGTTCCACAAGTGAGCGATGACACACCATGTCGAAAGCCTTAGATAAGTCAAGTGTGGCCAGTACCGTACGTTTAGGGGGCGATTTTGGTTAAAACCGTCTGAAATGTAAAATTCGAGAGTGGAGAGAGCTGTGGTGGTGGAGTGAAAAGGGCGGAAGCCGTGTTGGTGTTTGGCGTTGGGGAGATGTTTGGTAAAGATGGGGTGAACGAGCCTCTCCAGAATTTTAACAGCTGGGCAGAGTAAGGATATAGGTCTGTAAGATGTTGATTGTTTAAGATCCTTATTGGGCTTTGGAAGCGGTGCAATTTTTGAATTTTTCCAAATTTGGGGGATAATGTTTTCGGACAAAGAGATATTAAAAAGGTATGTTAAGTATTGAGTAGCAAGTGGGCCGAGATGTTTAAGATGTATATTACAAAGGCCGTCGGGACCTAGCGCTCGCGATGGTTTGCTGTCTGCAATGGCTTGTTTAGTATTTTCAGAGGTAAAAATTGGGCTGTCTGACAGCGGTAGTTTGGCAATTTTTCTTCTCGTTATACGAAGGAGTTTGTCAGAGGCGTGGGGTCTGGCATTGGTGAATTGTTTGTTAAAAGAGCTGGTAATATCACGAGGTGAGTGTATGGGTTTAGAACCAAAAGTAATGGGGTGTCTTCCTGCCACGGGCTTAGATCCATTTAAGGAGCGTACCACTTTCCAGAACTTTCTGACACCAGTGCGGTAGTCGCAAGTCCGGAGGAATTCTCGCCATTTATTTTCTTTGTCCTTTGCTGTCTGTTTCATGAGTCTACAGTTCAGTTGGGATATGACTTCTGGGGGGAGATTTTGTTGTCGGCTTAAATCTCTTTCGGCGGCAAGGGCAGTGGACTCGGGGGAAAGAGAGGGAGTGAAGTGGCGAATACGGCCAGCGGGGATGTGGTGGCGTGCTGCCCTGAGCACCAGGTCCCTCAAGAATTTCTCTCCGGCGGCAACTCCGGAAGGTGGAACCGCTGAAAAGAAACCCTCCTCAATTTCCTCTGTGAATTTGATCCAATCTGCTTTTAAAAAATTTATAAAAGTCCTTTTAGGTGAAAAATTTATAAAATCATCCAAGGGTAGTTCTAGAAGAATGGGTAGGTGATCTGATCCTAGAGATTTAATTGGGGTCCATGATGTGGAGAGTAAGAGCGATTGGGATGCGAGGGAAAAATCTGGTGACGAGAGTTGGTTTTCTGAGTTAAAAGGGACTCTGGTTTGTGTGTCATCATTTAATGGTGCAAAGGTGGATTCGGTTATTTCATTGCTAAGTACAGAACCGCGTTGATCTTCCTCGATGTTGGAGTTCCATAGTTGTGAATGCGCGTTGGCATCCCCGAGTACTAAGGCGTCCCCAGGTTCAAGTAGTTCGGCAAGGGACGCAGAGTAACCAGGGTGACAGCTCGAGCGCGGGGGGATGTAGAAATTATAAATACGAAGCTTGGATGAACTGGCTACCACTGATATGCCCATAGCCTCTAGTGTTCCATCGTTGTTAATATTTATTTCTTCGTATTGTATCGACTCATGTATGGCTATGAGAAGACCGCCCCCTTCTTTTTCTCGATCTTTTCTAATTAAAGTGTAGTGTGAGCCAAGTGAGGGGTTTCGAGATTTCTTTCTTAATTTAGTTTCTTGGAAGACAGCAATATGAATTTGATTTTGAGATAAGAAAGCAGCAATTTCGGGTGCTTTTCCGGAGATACCGTTGCAATTAAATTGAAGGATTTTTAAAAGGCCTTTGGCGGGGTGTGGTGAACTATTTACATTATTAACAGCAGTATGATTAAAATGGTTGTTTGAACTTGAGTTATTTACACTATTTACACGATTACGATTTGCGCGATTTTGGGAGGAGGAATTATTATTCGAGGAGGTGGGAAGGGTGGGAGGGGGAGGGGGGTTAGGGAGGTGGGGTTGGGGGGCGGTTAGGGAAGTTGAACAAGTTTGGGAGTTGGGGTGGTCAAGTTAGAGGACCTGGTGCCTGGGGGAGGTAAAATGTAGGTAGAGGTACAGGTAGGGCAATAGTAGTCAGGGTGGTGTTGGTTAAGGTGGGTAAGACCACTACATTTAAGGTGAATGTAACCACAGATGTGGCACCAGACACTGGGCTGGGTGCGTTTGATGCGAAAAGAGCAAGGGGAGCAAAAGTAAGGTCCTGGACCAGGGTTTGGATTAATGCCGGAGCGGAGTAGTAGTATAGAAAATCTTCTGTGGTCGAGTTTTTTTCACCGGCCAAGTTTCCACAGCGTGAACTTATCTTTTGATCCAGAAACTTTCACTACAACTGAAATTCTTGACATGTGGCTGGTGATTGAAATCCAGCAAAAGTTGCTGAAAATCTTTGGCAATTTATTTGTGAGCTTGAAATTTGTATTTTCATATCTACTCCACAAAAAAGCAACACATGACAATTCTATATAATTCTATCTGATTTCGAAATTCTGATCATAAAACCCTGTTTCAGGTGTTTCAATTGATTTTTCAGGGAGTGCATTTTTCCGGGTTGTGAAAATCACGCTGGTGCTAGTTCCAAATTTCCTGAGTTTTTAGGTTCAATCAAAAGGATGTGTTTTTGACACAAAGTTATGACCCTCGCAAAAGTCATGTTTATGATTTTTTTGACCATTTTGGAACGTTTCGACTTTTCTAGAAAACTAGCCTCCCATATCTGAAGATTTGATTCCAACTGAAAGGACGTGTTGTGGAAAGGTCCCCTGTAGAAGCGGCTTGGTCCAAATTTTTGTACACTAAAATTTCTGACCTTGAAAAGTCTAATTTTCGATTTTTGACGGTTTTTTTGAAGCTTTTGACTTTAATCGAAAACTTCCCTCCGAAATCTGAGGTTTTGGTTTTAATCGCAAGGACGTGTTGTGCGGAGCTCTGTAAAACGGTTAAGTCTAATTTTTACACAAACTTATAACCCTCAGCAAAGTCAAGTTTTTGATTTTTTGACCGTTCTTGAAACTTTTCTCGTAAACTAGCCTCTCAAATCTGAGATTTTAGTTTAAATCGGAAGCGTGGAATGAAAAGCTGTCCCGCAGAAGCAGTTACGCCCAAGTTTTTTTACACATAAAGGGATGAACTTCGGAAAGTTGAAACTATCGATTTTTTTACCGTTTTTCGAAACTTTTTGACTTCTCCCAAGTTTTTGTACACAAAAGTTATGACCTTCGGAAAACTCAAACTATCCTTCGGAAAACTCAAACTAAAACTATCGATTTTTTGACCGTTTTTCGAAACTTTTTGACTTCTCTTAGGTTTTTTTACACA